GTTTCCAATTCCTGCCATGATGATGACTCCGCGAGAAGCTGCTCGAAAGTCTCAATATATGTTTTGGTCTCGCTTAAGTGATTCTTCTCATAGTTGTCTGTGGGAAGCGCATGCGATGGAATCACATATTGAGGATGCAGTCCAGCCACCTTGTCAATGCTCTTGAGCCACTGTGAACGGAGTTCCGCCGTCGGATTCTCGGCTAGATACTGGTAGCAATTGCCATAGACAACGTCTCCGGTAATGACGGTCTTGACCTCAGGCACATAAAGCACAGTAGAGTTAACTGTGTCTCCCTCGCCGACTGGTACCGCTCGCAGCTCGTACTGTTCCTTACGATGGCCGTTCCCGCTACTCAAGTAGAAAGATAGATTGGTGGAAGGATCGAGGATATCGAGGTTGATATCGGAAAGGTCCGGCGCCTCAAGATTGGGAAAGAGGGCAGCCCAGAATGAGGCGAAAAATCCAGGTTCGATTTGTTGGAGCATGTGGTCGTATACTTCCTGCGTTGCCAGGACTCTTGCACCGGGGAACCGTTTTTGGATCATGGGGATGGCGAAGAAGTGGTCACCGTGGCCGTGGGTCACATATATCCCCGTGAGCTTCCGACCTGGAATGGTGGCACTGATCCAGTCTGCCAGTTCCTCGCCGCGTTCAGGAGAGATCGGTGCATCGACAAGTACAGCTTCGTCTTTGGTAGATATCAAGGTGAATGTCGTTGGTGAGAAGCTGACATCAGTCGAATTCTGATACACGAGGGGTACTGGGCTTGCGTGGTAGGTGTAAATTTGCAAGTCCCCTTTTTCAATGATGGGTTCAGTAGAGCATGGACACGTGTCGCACTTGGCAAACACGGTGCTCACTGATGTAGCGAACAACAGCGCGAGAGAGAAAGGCAGATGCATGGTGGCAGGAATAGTATGATCTGGACCAAGAATGAGTACCTGAAAGCGGATAATTTTTGGACTTTATATAGTTCGAGAAGCTCACTAATCAAATATTTGTTCGTTTATGGTAATCAACTTATATTGATTTATGATCAAGGTAGAAGCTAAATATAATTGATGATATCAACAGAATATCAGAATAAGCAATTGATCAGTAATCAAGGAGAAAGCTTACCTTGTACAATAAGCTTGTCAAAAAGGTTGAGAATATGGCAGTGTAGTTCATTAGAAATCGCTAGAGCTCAATGGACCTGGATATACCCTTATTTTTAATGAAGGAGGAGCGCGCAGTGGCTTTCGAATGACTGACTGCCAACTGAGCGTCAGTTTCGAGCCTCTATTTACGGTTTTGAGGCCCACACATCAGAGAAGGCTTTGCGGCACCCTAAGTAATCGAAAATATATGGCTTTTCCCCCGTATGTGTTCGCATGTGGAATTTCAGTGCACTTGGCTGGATGAAGCTCTTGTTGCAATTCTCGACAGTACAAGAGTAAGGTCGCTCATTGGTATGGATTCGATAATGTCTGCTAAGGTCTGAGGGTGACTAGTAGTATGAAACCATTGCAGAATTTTCATACGGTCAGTCGATCTCCCAGTAGCGTTACCAAGTCCACTTTTATTATCACCATTCTTTCGAAGGCGACGTTTGACGCTAGCATTTACAGCAATGAAAGTGTTTATTGTCCGACGCGTGTTGCGGGATGATGGAGCTGCGTAAGGGATAAACATTGTTTGAACTTGCTCAGGACGCCAAGGACAAGGTATGACCACCTTGTCCGTGCGAGGTCAAGGGATTGCTGGTCTGTTTGGTAGCGGGAGTTGACGCTGATGGCGTGGCAGGGTGGCTTGGTGGAGGATTTCTGCTAGCGACAAGTAATCATAAAAAAATGAACCAATCACAGACATATATTGTCTAGAATATCTTACCGTACAGTTCAGAAAGGTGGAATCTTGTCAGGGCGCTATTCTCTGTAAGCTGTAAGTAACACCTGACTGTAGGATCTTGTAAGAGCTTCCTAGCTACTTTGATATTTCGGATTGCGGTATCTGACTTCCTTGGCGGATACGTTGTTCAAACCTTGTACAAACCTATACACACCCGAGGGGATTGATCGGCTCGGCGTTGGAGGCCACGGGCTGACTAAGCTAGTAGCAATCACGTGATGATACGAGATACATTCCGCAACTTCTATAAAGGGAAAAAAAAAATAAAATAAAAATACAAATACAAATAAAAGTGAAAAATATTCTCACATTGACTAGCTTTTCAAATTCAACCAACTCCAAGTCAAATTCTCTACCCAGCACAGTATTCTTCTAGAGTCATGCCCTCGTCAGGGAATGATGTTCTTCCGCCCTCACAGACTCCTCAACCTCATAATTACTTCTCCTTTTTCGTAACCTTAACTACCACCCGAAAATCCTGCCATACATGACAACAATGCGCATCACGGTCCCAATCAAATTCCTTGTTCTCCAGCTGGAACTCATACTTCAACAACAGCTTGGTAATAGTAAGACGCAAGATGCGTAAGCCCATAGTCTTCCCTGGGCAGGCATGCGTGCCCACTGAGAATGCAGAGAATGCCCCTAGCACATCTGAATCTGATCCAGAAGTTGACGGGAACATCCAACGCTCTGGTTCATAGCGATCTGGGTTTTGGAAATTCTTCACGGAGCGGTGGATGGAATACTTGTCTACGAAGACTTTGGCCTGTTCATAACGAACTTAGGAACTTGTCTTCTGTTTCAGAGAAAAGAGAGGGAAAGAGAGAGACTCACCCCCTTGGGCACGTAGACGCCATCTACCACTACGCCAGTCGAGATCCGGGCGCCAACGTCGTTGACTGGAGGCTGGAGTCGAAGGCTTTCCTGGAGGCAGGCATTGAGATATTGGATCTGGGAGAGATCCTCATCGGTAACAACACTCTTGTCAGGAATCGCGACCTGGAGTTCGTGTTGGAGACTTGCAAGAATTTTTGGGCGTCGCAGTAAGTGGTAGAAGACAGCTGATGCGGCGGCTGAAACGGGGTCATATCCTCCGATCCTGTTTAATCCATGAAATTTTTTAGTCTACAGAACACACACATCTCCACGTGGGCAAAAAAGCTTAGGACACTGACACCAGAAGACTTATATGTGCCATGCCACGCTTCAGCTCTGGACTTCCATTCGCGCCTTTGTCGGAGATCCCCAGTTTCTGTGCGATGATACTCTCTCTGAACTCCTTTCGATCTGTGAGCCTGTAGTAACATGCAACACGAAAGTAGATGAAATAATTAGCCCTTTCTGCTCAGTCCAAGGACTCAAGAATCTGATGAATGGCTTACTCCTGAATCCGACTGAAGGTATTCACTTGCACCCAGCGCGTATTCATGAAATAACGAACTGCCTTCCACAGGATGGTAGCAACCACCGAGGCTCCCGGCAAACGGCCAACATAAAACATCATATCCAATCCGGCAGTATACACATTATCCCACCTCCGAAAGGAATCAAAGGTCTTCTTGGTACTCATGGGAATTGCATGGCCCAGGAAGAAGTGACCCATGCACTGCCATATTAGCCTATCGAGCCCGTGAGTAAGATCATATTTTTCCCCGCTGGAAGCCGCCGCATCCAACTCGCCTTCCAACTCCGCTAGATAAGTTCTATGAATCTCCTCCTGGCTACGAGCTGGGTATGTAGCCAGGATTCCCTGGACCTGCGAACGGACACTCTTGTGATCTGTCCGGGTGGCCGCGGACTGAGCAGTTGTATTCCCGATCACGAGGTCGATCGCGAAACTGACGTTGTTTTGTGTTGGGGTGAATCCTTTGGTATACTCGTCCCTGTAAATATCGTCTCGTGCCTTGGGGCTTGCGAACGATAGCTCTGTTGGTGATATCCGGACTACTGGGCCTGCGATTTGGTTTTGTTAGACCGGACCATGCTCTCTCTCTCTCTAACTGGTTTTGTGTTCATCTGTAGCTTGCCGCACCATATTTTTCATGAAGACGTCGCAGTTTTGGAAGGAGTCTTCCCGAGTAGCGTGCATGCATGGCCCATAGCTTTTATGTTGTAGGGTCAGTCAGAGGCCTAGAATTCGAAGAGGAGCGGGGTCACGAACCGGAGACGTCGCGGCAATTACTGGGCCTGGAAACTTCGCCAGTGGGTTGAAATATCGGTCGTAGATCACACTGATGGCTAGTATGACCGTAATACTGATCAGCAGAATGGACATGGTGTTAAAGGGTATTGGTTTTGATTGCACATCCAGCTCGACGGTCTCAGCACTCAACAGCTATTTAGAGTCGATGGAAGGAAAACCAGCTGGGAAAGGAAGTAGTGCAAAAACAAAAGTTGGCCCCGTGATAAGGCTCGAAATATAGGAAGTGTCTTATGCTATCTCATTGGTATGTGTGATCTCAATAGTTAGCTGCATTTGGTTTCTAATACCCAGTTACTTGGCTCTCTTTCGTTCATTGGTGCATTCTGGTGATACTGCCGGGAGGTTAGCGCCGGCCACCATAAAGCTCACCCACCTTATCATTTTCTGATCACATCACCATCACTTACTATTTTTGACTCTTGTGTGCACTTGAATCTGGCAACACTACTTGTTCAGTACGTCTACTACATAGAAAGATTCATACTGTTAATGGGTTCAGGCTCATCTCAATTCTTAATTTCATGTCTGCGTATCTTTCATGACATTAGTGACTTCAAGGCTATGCATACCTGTGGATGGCGGGAGAAAATCAATCTTGAATCTTAGATAAATTGTAGATCAACATGATCACAATATCTGATTAGTCAAAAAAATCGTACATGGGTCTATAACGAACCACTTATGGATAATTTATATTTTTTTGCTTTTCATGCACTGTGATCAGGTGGACTTTCACAGCAGTGATGCCCAAAATCCTGCTATATATTCGCCCATCGTCAGTAGGCTGAGATGTCGCGAATCAGACGATATATACCATTATATACCCTTTTACAGATTCCTCCTGCCCCCTATATTCAAAGCAGCAAATATGCAGACTAGAATCATCACAGAAAAGTCAGATATGGCAGATTCAGCCGCCGAACCAACCGTTCGGGCAGCACTCTCTGCACTTGACAAGGCGACTCAATACTCAGTAGACCAAATGAAAGAAGGTACCCACTGGTGCGGTGAGCTCCGTTCCAACCCAACAGTCACAGCCGAATACGTCTTTCTTCAACAAGCCCTCGGGCTGTCAATAGCCGAACAAGCAGCACAGCCACTTATCCAATGGCTTCTATCACAGCAAAACCCAGATGGATCGTGGGGTATTGCGCCCAACTACCCCGGCGATGTCTCGACCTCCACAGAAGCATACTTTGCGCTCAAAATCCTGCAATTCCCAGCACACCACACGGTCATGCAGAACGCTCGCGAGTATATCCGGAGTGTTGGAGGCGTGGCCAAGGTCCGCATCTTTACTCGGTTCTATTTAGCCATGTTTGGGTTATTCCCCTGGGAGGCTGTGCCTGAGTTGCCGGCTGAGCTTATACTCATGCCTGACTGGGCTCCGATTAATATATATAGGTTTTCATCGTGGGCGCGGAGCACCATCGTACCGCTTTTGATTGTCTCGCATCATCGTCCGGTTTACAGTCTTCCGCCCCTGGGTAGCAGAGGGGACCCCGCTGCTAGCACCTTCTTGGATGAGTTATGGCTGGATCCGAGTATTAAGATGGTTCCTTACCAGCAGCAGCCTGCTTCCAGTAACAGTAGCGGGGGATCTGATCGTTTGGCAACGGTGTTCCTTGTTATTGACCGGATTCTGCATTCTTTGGATGGGCTTAGGTTTTTGCCCTTCATCAGGGGTTACAGTCGTCGCAGCTGTATCAGCTGGATTCTCGAACACCAGGAAGATTCCGGAGACTGGGCTGGCATATTCCCGCCTATGCATCTGGGCTTACTAGCCCTGACACTCGAGGGCTTTAAGATCACAGATCCCCGGGTCGTCAAGGGCCTGGAGGCTGTAGAGAGATTTTCATGGGAGGACCACCAAGGCCGCCGCATTCAAGCCTGCGTCTCCCCGACATGGGACACAATTCTTATGTCCATCGCCTTGTGCGACGCCTCCCTCACCTCCTTCCCTTCCTCCTCACACACTGAAAACTGCAGAAAGCTTCAAAGCGCAATCGACTGGATCCGAAATCGCCAACTTGTCACCCAACCCTACGGGGACTGGAGAGTCTATAGCGCCAACAAAGCCGCACAAGGAGGAGGCTTCAGCTTCGAATACTTCAACACCTGGTATCCGGATGTCGACGACACCGCGGCAGCTATCATTGCGTTTCTTAAGCATGGATCATCATCATCATCATCCCTCGACAAGACCCACTATTCCGTCACCCGCGCGGTGCATTGGATTCTAGGCATGCAGAACAAAGACGGCGGCTGGGGCGCATTCGATATCAATAACGATGCACTCTTCCTAAACAAAATCCCCTTTAGCGATATGGACAGTCTGTGCGATCCCTCCTCGGCTGATGTGACGGGCCGCGTGCTCGAAGCATTCGGTCTGTTAGTTTTTCAGAGCCCTGATAGTGCATGTGCACGTATCAGCTCAGAATTCTTGTCTCAAATTCTGAGAGCCTCGGATCGCGCAATTGAATACCTTGCTCGAAATCAGGAGTCGAATGGGTCGTGGTATGGCCGGTGGGGATGTAATTATATCTACGGTACAAGTAATGTGCTATGCGGCTTGGCTTATTTTGTTAAGCAGGACACCAACAGTAACATTAACAGCATATATATTCCGGCTCTTACAACCCCTGCAGTGCAGTGGATCATGTCCATCCAGAACCGGGACGGTGGCTGGGGTGAAAGTCTAGAGAGTTATCGGTATCCGTCAAGCGATCGGCTTGAAATCGATCATCATCTTTCCACCGCATCACAGACGGCGTGGGCTGTCATGGCGTTGTTACCGTATTTCAATTTGGCACCAGATGTTGGCACTGCCATTGAACACGGGGTCGGTTATCTCATCAAGACACAAACGAAACAGGAACAGGAAGGCAGAGATAGTGGATCTGGAGCCGCGACGTGGGAGGAGACGACGTATACTGGGACGGGGTTTCCCAATTTTTTTTATATTGGATATGCATTTTATCCACATTATTTTCCGATGATGGCGCTGGGGAGGTATGTGCGCTTGGCTAGTGGGTTGAGGACTACTAGCGGGGTTGCATCAGGGAAAAAATGCGATGTTCTGGCATAGAGACGATATGTTGCAACATATACACATTTCGAATGATTATATCGCGATTTGTTCCCCTTTGCGGTCTGATATGCCAGACTCTGTGGGATATTTAGTAGCATATAGATTTAGTATTAAGTTAATTTAGGTAAAGATCTACTCCTTGAAATAATTATGTGGGAATCAATTAAGCTGTTGGCAGATACAGTAGGTATACTCTATGAGGATGCGGATGACATTGCAGATATCAGGGGAATAATATGTGTCTCGACTGTAAGTCTTCTTTGAGCTTTACTAATTACACTATATAGTATAGGTCTTGGAAATAAAGACTTACTACAACGTAGCAAGCCCAAAGGAATCACTGGTTCGCTTAGCACACACGTCGTTTGTATAGGCCACGATGACCATGCAGCCCAAGCTGACAGCAAAAGTTCAAGATTACGATGAACATACCAAAGATTACAGGAGAGAAACCGTTGCTAATGGTCTCGCTGAGACCAAAAGAGTCCTCAGCCATGCTCATGATGGCTGAGAGGATGACGCGAAGCCTGAATTCAGGCCCAACGACCCCGTAGTTCCGTGCAGCCATCGTTCCACCAGGAGTCACACTGTTGACCACCCAGGCTGGTACCTAGTAACTGATCCGGTGACGAGCGCGATACCACCGAGGTTGCCCACTGCAACGGTGACCGTGTTAAAAGGGCGGCGGCATCATGAAGATCTGGGACACGACCACCCCAAGGAGAATTACCCAGATGAAGGTGACGACCCACGTCACACATCCCCGGACTGCAAAGGGGTGGAAGATACAGGTCTGCCTCAGTCCCGCCGGAAATTGAAGGTTGATTGCGCTGGGTTTACCGACAGTGGCTGGTCCTGTTATAGATATAGAAGGCTCAGCAAGACAGCGAATTCTGAGAATAAATAGAAAGGATAGAAAGATCTTGGAAGAAGGGCACAGCACCGACAGCGACTGTGAGAATCTGGGAACCGGGGAGCTAATATCTATCTTCAGTTCTATACCCCCGCAGACAAGAGCACTGCCACCACTCTTGCAAACCCGCAGTCGTCAGAAGCGCCTGCTCAATTGGCCTCTTTACGTTTGCCAATTAGTCCTCCGCCGTCGTAGCGAGAGCTTGGTGATTACCGTCTAACAGCTAGGTTCCTCTCCGGGGATTTCTGCTGCTTCCATGTTTAAGCCAGCAACCAAGTTCTGAAGTAGGTGCTCGCTAGGACTGTGCCAGAAGTGTATCAACTACAACAAACCCCAGGTGATCCGACCTCACCCATACATCTTGAATTAACAAATTGGTATTAAAAAATGAGCTTTAACCAACTCCTTAAACTGCACTTGCAGACAGGTCTAGCTCCTGGAGATTACTCCAACCTAAGGCTAATCACAACAACAATACCCTAGGCCATCACTTGTCGGATATTTCAATCTTCAGGAAAGGTAAAGAGGCATAGTCTCACACAAGTAATCTTAGTTCATATGAACAATCCACCTATTTCAGTTCAAAATTCTCCAGAGGCATTGGAAAGTATGCGACATCTCAGACAAACAGCCTAGAGTTAGCTGTGACTAAATGCCAAACCAGGTAGGTTGTAATATCATTTATATTATTGCTGAAGCAGTAATATACTGGTCATCCTCACTAGTGAGCCATGATGGGAAAGTATTATTAGTACTTTCAAGCCTCACGGCTCCTTCACCTTTAAAGTTGAAATCAGCGCCCTTACATGTGTTTCTATGATTAAAGCTCACATCAAGCTCCACTCAAAGGCCTCGGCTGAATTTGCACTCTAACTCATGGCCATTCTGCGGGAGGGACGTGGGTCAAGTAGCCTTTTGTCAACTGAGTTATTGACTCTACCTGGAACTTCAAGTAACTAATCCGGTTTCTAAACAGTTCTGCTTCTGTTATTAATGTTTTACCGTGAAGGCTGGATAAAGCAACAGATGCCAATAAGTTGGGAGTGAGCGAGCTAACAGAATATGTTTGGGGATGATGAATCAGACCGGATATCAAGAGGAAAGTTTGCTGATGATGTCCCTATATGTGCAAGTGGTCTTCGACCAGATTGAAAGACACTATATTGGACGATTTCTCGCGGCTGTGTGTATAATATTTAGAGCCCGGAACAAATCAATATGAACAGTAGAGTATAATATATCTTTTGGTTACGACCAAACTATGCATCAAGGACATTGTCCTAATGATCCCTTCGCAAGAACCAGCCTTCAAGCTCGGTTAGCACATGCTGGGCTGTAAGGTTCTGAATCGCGACTCCAGGGTGATAGGGATCACGCCAGAGACAGGACGTTCCATCCCAATTGACGCAAGTTGCATTAGGTGCCCCGTAGGCGGTTGGATTGTTAATTGCTGTGTCAAAAGGGCGTTGCGTGTGTATCAACTTTGCCCTGGAATGAGTGTTAGACGACAGAAATTTGGAAAGATACGTCGCGAGAAGACTGTTGTATTTTTCAACTGCAGCGGTCTCTTGGGTAACGACTTCGCTGCCTCTCTCAATCATTAATGGTGTCTTTTGCATGGCTGTAATGTGGAAGGTTAGCGTTCGGAAATGATGGATTAAAAGAAACAGATGTGGGAAAAGCTCACGAGGGACAGTAAGTAGCATAAAGTTTCTGATTCCTGCATTGTACAGGATCTGTAACTGGCTGAAGTAACTATTCATGACCTCTATGAGGACCATCTCTAGGTCAGGCCGCGCATAGGAGCCCCCAATGTCATTTATTCCCATCCAAATACCGGCTAGGGTATTGTGACTGTTCCAGGGCGCAGACGGCGGCTTGGAAGCAATACTATTGCTGAAAAGGTTCACCTGGTCAATAAGGCTAAGAACGGAGGGGCTCCAAGGGGCAACAATGCTCGCGTTTGTGGTTGCACCACCGTAAGCAAAGTTGAAAGACAAGATGAGCGAGGTGTTGTATTGGGAAGCCAAGAAGCCGATCCAGTTTAATCCTCCGCTAGTTGTCTGGCCGGGAAGTTCTGGGTTTCCGAGAGGGTTTGTAGCAGAAGGATAGCTACCACTGATGTTGAAGCCGGTTTGGGAATAGGAGTCACCGCTGGTAATGATGAGCATTATGGAGATCCATATTGTCCCGCCCCAAAACAGGATAGCTTACAATGTGATGAGATACTTAGTGTTAGCTGGCAATGCACCCGCCACTGACACTGATGCTGGGGCTCCAGCGGATAAGCCAGAGAAAAGGAAGAGGCCAGAGAATATAGATTTCTGGACCATGTTGAAGAGGCAGTCGGTAAACAAAATCACTTGGAGTGAAAAAAATTGAGGAAGGCCTTAAGTAGATTCGGTTTTCTTTTGTTTCGAGATTAATAACTAAGGGGTAGAGGGTTGGTATTTAACCTTGAGCACAGCAGAGGAAATAGAAAAATGCATCATGACATCCGACTAATAGAGAATATAACACAGGGTTAGATCAGCTATAATCGAATGGGCAAAGAAAAGTGTGGGGATGTATACAAGCAAGTACCAGTGTATCCTGTTCATTTACTAGTCATGCTAAGTCTAGGGCCTATTTACCCCAGGATCTCTATTTACCCCAGGATCTCCGTTCGCCCGATTTCTCGAAGTATTGAGTGAGACAAGCATCTGTATCCCCACCACAGACGCGACAGACCCCTGTTGTGTCAACCGATTTCTAACTTTTATCCGAAATCCTGTCCTACTCTATTTTGGATTGGGGAATTTTGCTATAATTTGTGATTAGGCAAAAAGAAGGACCAGTTTCCATAACGGACAGCGATGGATCTCGACTACTGCGGAGAAAACTGACTTAGCACTGCCTTGGCTGGGGTGTCCTATTCTATTGCCTGCTCTATAGAGTTATTGGCCATGAAGTGGCGCTGGAGTTGCGGGTTTGGAAATATCTAAGTGGTGCAGTACTCAGTCTCTAGACCTAGTACTAACTATTCTGTTGCCCGCTCTATAGAGTTATTGGCCATGAATGTGGCGCTGCAGTTGCGGGTTTGGAAATGTCTAATTGGTGCAGTACTCAGTCTGTAGACCTAGCGCTAGCACTACTTAATATTTAGTAACTACTGCTCCGGAGTGGTTAACTAGTTTCCCGAGTCCAACCCGTCTTTGCATCATTGTAATCCTCTAGCTATTTCTCTTATGATTTGTTTATTTTCCCGGGAACCATCCAGCTGAAGTTATTACATTACGATTACTGGAATGCATATTTGTGATGGAACTGCTTTTATCTCGGATAAATCGTCAATAAGGAGGATTCAATCGTATATAGTCCGACTCGGGAAGCGGTGATATTCGATTTTGGTGAAAAGAGCGTGAGCAGGAAGGATGTTATTTCTGGTGTTACAGGAAGAAAAGCCGCCAGACGCTGCATATGAGCTGACTTTTGAAGAAGTTACAATCTACCGGAGTTGCAGGCAAGGGCTTTTACAAAAGAACGAAGAGAGGCAGAAAGAAGGGAAATACAGTCAGTCCGCAGAAGGCTATAGGACCCAGCCAAGGTCCCATATGCCAGGTCTAATTCAAGCAAGACAAGGTAGTCGAGAGTGTAAACAATCAACCCGGAGTGTAGCGGGTCGGCGTGATATTCGCGTGTTTATTGGCTTGATCATCTCGACAGAGCTCCAGTTTTGACCCCAATAAGTAGGTATGCATCAAACCAGGCTATTGTTTGTTTGCTTGCTCCACATGCTATTTGACCAAGGTCCCGTTCTTAGCAGAAGGCATTAAGCAGAATGAATGCCTATGCAAACAAGATGTTTCATTCAGCATCTATATATATAGTCTTTCGTTCCTGACAGTTCTCTATTAAGTTTAGAACGTTGTCTCACATCCAAAGTAGTGTGATTTCATTTTGCTTGCAGCCAAGCCATTGAATGGGAATTTGCACAATAACTACTGATAAATACTACCAGTAGCAACAGCCTCAATCTGGGTTGCCCCACCGCGCAAACTCTCCATTTCCACCCTCTTGGCTTCCAGCTCGTCGTCAAGCAGCATTCCTAGGGCCCGCTCCTCGAAGAGAAGATTGATCCCTCGAGCCACTGTTGCTTGGTTTCGAAGAAGAGATAAATTGTCGGTATGGTTACGCACGCACCTATAAGGCATTAGTAAGGATCAGTAACCAGGATCGCACTATGATGACTCCCTCCGTGCAACAAAAATGAAGTAGAAATTCCAGCCTAACGTGTGTAGCGCGATAGGAGAAACATGGCGCGTCAATGTACTAACCATCCGGTTCCCGACACCGGTGGCAAAAGCATTGCCTTTACCCCGGATTACATTGGCATGATTTCCGACATGTAAACTCAAGGAGACGGAAAATACAACAGAAACTCAAAAGAGGAAGAAGACACCACCAATGCTGTATTCCCTTTCAGTCTCATCAAGGTTTTGCGGCGAGTTAAGGGCACCCTCACAAACAAAAAAAAAAAGGGTGATACCTGCTGTCTCAAAACGCAGTGGCTTGCGTCTGCCAACATGACTCAATAAAAAGATAATAAAGACGAGATTCGCTAAGGGCTCAACCACGTTATAGACCCACTCATGAAAAGTGGCACGGTTTCCCTCGATTCCCAGTGTTTCGTACTGATGTTCTGATAGTGGCCGATCACGTTAATGCCTGTTATTTGGGTAAACACCCGCACCGCGGTACCTAGTAGTCGCGTCTGCCACTGGGGAACCTTGGGCATAACGAGTCAGCCCGAGGCAGTGATCTCCCTCTCTGCGCTGATGGTAGCTTTGATCCCTGAGAGTTCGCTGACGATCAGCTCAACATTGGAGCCGTTGTAGTGGAGGCGTCGCAGCACTTTTATGGCTACATCATCTTGCCCTTCTGGACAAGGTTTCGGGCATCACAAAAAAAAGTCGAAAATGAGAGGCATCGCGGGTACCCCTTGAAAGGCCAACAGAAATACCATTGCAGCGCGTTTGTGTCTGGGGCATGCAAGGAACCGTAAGCAATAGATCTGTATGTCCCTTAGGTGAACGCGTGCCCTTGGATTGTAAGGTAGGTAGGCAGGAAGGACGACGTAGCTTACGTGCTGACAACTCCAATCATTTTGCTGGGCGGGACCGACAATCCTGGTCCTAATCGTGTCATACGCCGTCTTGAGGTTTTTTTTTTTTTTTTTTTTTTTTTTTTTATCTCTTCCTATTTTCCGTGTTGCAATATCACTTACAAGCCATGCATCATGCGCACACTCAGCCTGGCAGACTGGCACAGACATGCTCATCACACTCACAGACCAGCCAGCAACAATTCGTCCGACCTAGGATCATCGCCAAATCCTGTGCTACGCATTGCAGCACAGCACCAACAGGTGAGGGAAAGCGCCGATCTGGATAGGTGCTTGCAACCCAGCCAACCTATAGTCAAACGGGGCATGAGGGCTCCAACAGCGGCTAATCAAGGGTTAAAAAAAAAGATCAGTATACGGCTTCCCTTGGGGAGAAAGAGGGGTGATCCAACATACTGCCTTCAGGAAAAGTGCCGTTGATAGCACCAATAATTTAGGAAGTCTTGGGTCCATTGAAAAATTCCAGGAAACTCGGAGAGGCATTCACATCCGTCATGGCACCTGAGTCATAACCAAACAGGAAACTTCCCGTGGCAGGAAAGGCTGCGACCCCAATGTTGTCACCCCGACCCATTTTGCGTGTTGTATTTCCAGAACCTTCAAAAGTTTGGCCCGCACTCATATCAAATCTGAGACACGGTGGAAAGAGAGACCTATGTACTAGGCCACAGCCCTACCCCGATTTTCCAACAAGAACTGGTTGAAAGTGAGTCGACTATGACAGAAGCCAGCCACTCGAGATTGGCGATGAGCTTAGCAAGGGCTGTCTAATGATATGTGTTCCGTACGGAACTTGACTAGAACGGATTGCCCGAGACTACAATGCGGTATCCCTCCGTAAATCTCCCCACCGGGAGCCGAGTGAGGGGTTTTCTATTCCGGATAAATTTGACCTCGTATGTATCCACATGAAGGTAAGTCCATTGCCGCAGCTAGGTATACTTGCCTTTGGACAAACTCTGTTTGGTGAAATTCATCTTGCTGAATTTAGAGTTCCTTAATTCGCAAAGCCACCTGTTTGAAAATTTAAAAGAGAATCCCTTAATTAGCTTGAATATTTTCCTACAGTTACTGAAGGCAAGAGTCTCTATCGTATTAACAACTCACACAGCTGGAAATATTCAGGTTGAAGTAAGATAATGAAATCAAACTATAGTTAAAGAGATCGAGTTAGTCCAAGATTAGAACAGTAGGTCCAGGACTGTAACAAACTTGGGATACGTCTTGTTCTTCAATCCTGTGCTCAGGCCGCTGTGGTTCTATAAACGAGGGATGGTGTAGGTGGGCTTTGGCGTATCTTGTTGGCGATCCTGGGGAAGAGATAAACTCCGCATCCTTAAGAGACTACCCTCAGTAAACTATGCCATATTTGTAAGTTGGAGAAGTATATTGTGCTAAACGCTTTCTGGGATAGTGTCTGGGGCATCCATTAGTATTGCATCAAGTCTAAAGCGACGGTATGTAATCTCCTAAAGGCAACTCTCGGAGCGTTCCGCTCAATGTCCATGCTGCAAAGTTCATGACCGAGCCACGTGGTAGTGCAGCCCGACAAAACAACTCCGTCGGGAGCTTGAGCAGCGGTAATTGGTCGCCGTAGATAGGGAGTGCGTAAGATTAGGAAGACATATGTAGAGTATTTCACTGATCAGTAGATTCATTCAAAGTCGTCACCAAGCTCCTTGACGCAACGCATTAGAGAGACATGGGAAAAATCCTTAAAAGCGCCGCATCTCTGGAGCCTAGTTCTGGTAGTAAGTTACGTCTCATTAATCGTCAGGATATATTAAGCACTCGAACAGAACGCACAGTTGCTTCTATTGGCTTTGGAGCAGCTGTATACTTTGGCCGGGCGAGCGGAAACGCTTTTCTTCGTATCTTCCTGTGGAAATGTGGAAATGTTTCAGCTGGGGTTGGCGCCATATTTTATTTCGAACACGAGGTCTGACGATCTCTTCACGAATATGCAGATTATCAGAAGACATTCGACACATGTAGATCATATCAGAA